TCTAAAGTAAAGCTAACATGTGATAAATCTTTAAGTTAGAATTTTTCAGTCGCAGAATTTTATGTATTTTAAAAACTATTAATTTTTTAATGAAGTAAGGAAACTTAGCTCTCCATCTACATTTCGCATTTTTTTTATTAAATTATGTAGTTGAAAAATTCATTGATATAATCTTGCAGTAGATTTATTTTGGGTGCCAAAAAAAATTGTTTTTTCAGTGCAAGTGCAGCATTTTTGCAATACGTTCACAAGCCACATTACATAAACTATTAGGATCCAATACACACACTTAATGCAGCAAATAAGTATATTTATTTCGAGGTGTATTAACCTAATGCCTAACTCCGATGCTCCAAACTCTTCTTCATGTTCTACTAGTGATGTTATCTTATAAACTATCTTTACTTGATACTTTTATTTACCAAACTTTTCTTTCAATTACAAATTACTTTTAACTGTTATTGTATTCAAACTATGTATTATCTTTTAGAATTAGATTCAAAAGAAAGCCACCAACTGGAATTGAGCAAGTTCTCAGCTTCCCGTCTGCGGACATACCTTTCATGCTATTTCAGTGCCAAAGTTCACTAGCCCATGTCGACAGGTGTGGAGGAAATATATTAGGAAGATCACTGAATAGTGAAGGGAACATCTCATCATACTGAAAAAACAAATATTGCAACAATTGAAAGCATAAATGAAAAATATGCGACACTTTAGAAAATATTTCTAATTATGAAAATATTTAAAGGAAAGTTCACAAGATAAAATAGTTTTTTAAGAAGTTTTAGATTGTGAAAGAAATGATAAGTTAGAAAATTAAAAAAGACTAGATTACCATCTATGCAATAGAGCTCCAAATCCAATCGTTATTCTTGCTTTTATTTTTAATATATTTATTATTGCTGTAACATTTTTACGCTGTTAGTTTTCAAGAAAACCCGAATACTCTGAATACTTTGGGAGGGTAATCAATCAAGCAATTCTTCTTTTCGAAAGTTCCCTCAATCGGAAAAGGGTAATATGTTCATATTTGATTCATACATTAGCATATAACTATGGAATATCCACAGCATTAATATTCTATTCCCAACCTACCTGGGTCTCAAAGGAACGTGTCAAATGTACTTAGAAACAGAGACCAAAATATCAACTTTGCAAACTCCATAAAAAACAGAACCTACTAAATCAAATTCCAGAAGATAGTTTGTTTGTCTGTAAAATTATTAAAGCTAAATTGGAATATTTAAATGAAAAAACAAGAAACTGCTGCTATCTTTTGAGTAAATTTCAAGTCTATAAATCATGGTAAAAAGGAATAAGAAAAACATCTCCCCAGTTAAGAAACCTGCTGCAATGTTTATAACAAGAAAGAACTCGAATTAATTTAGAAATATGTTATGTGTGAAATTTAGGAAGAGGGCTTTTAGGGTTTGGAATGTAGCAAACAAAGAGAGAAGTGCAGAGAGAGTGAGAAACAGACAAAGAGAGAACAAAAGAGAGAAGAGAACACAGAGAGAGACAGAGAACCAATTCATTATTCCTCATTACAGATATAGTTGAAAATAACTGATGCTAAGAAACAATTAGTTAGTTAGTTAAGAACAGATGCTACACATAACAAAACAAATTTATGAAAACTAAAAACATTAAATAAGAAGAATAAATAAATAAGAAGACAAACTGTAAAAAGAAATTTAAAAAAAAAAAGATTTATGTAAACCCAGATTAAGAGAGACTAAATCACTTATGCCAACTTCATGAAAGGAGAACCAAATAAAAATAAACTCCATGAATGATCACCTACCAATATTAAGAGATAAGTAAAAATACCTCCGGCTACCGTTGGGTCTTTGAAGAGAAAGACATATCTCTTCTTTCGATCTTCTTCTTCCCTCTTTCTTTGCTCTTCTTTTCCTTCTCTATTTGGCTCTTTACTCCCAGTAAACTGAAAAAGAAATAGAATGTTAGAAAGAGGACAGTTCAATTTGTTTTCTATCATCTTCTTCCTTACCTCTTTCAGATATTCTTTTCTTTCCCTCTCCACATTGAAGAGAATTGGAGAGTTTCAGATCCATGTCTGCTCGTTCCTGTCTTTTTCCCCTTTTTCTCTCTCTGCTATGCTCGTACTTCTCACCTTCTCTCTGGGCAAGGCTTGTGAACAAGAGAGATCGAAATTTAACAGAATGAATAAGTAGTGTTGGGTCTTGAAGAGAAACCCATCGATCTTCTTTTCGATCTCCCTTGAAGAGAACGGAGAGTTTCAGATCCATGTCTGCTCGTTTCTGTCTTTTTCCCCTTTTTCTCTCTCTATTATGTTTGTATTTCTCACCTTCTCTCTGGGCAAGGCTTGTGAACAAGATAGATTGAAATTTAACAGAATGACTAGGCAGTGTTGGGTCTTTAAGAGAAACCTATCTATCTTCCTTTCGATCTTCTTTTTTCCTTCTTTCTTTGTTCTTCTTTTCTTTCTCTATTTGATTCTTTGCTCTCAAGAAACTGAAAAAGAAATAGAATGCTAGAAAGATGACCATTCTAATTTGTTTTCTATCATCTTCTTCCTTACCTCTTTCTGATATTCTTTTCTTTCCCTCTCCACATTGAAGAGAATGGAGGGGTTTCAGATCCATGTCTGGTCGTTTCTGTCTTTTTCCCCTTTTTCTCTCTCTTTTGTGCTTGTATCTCTCTCCTTCTCTCTGGGCAAGGCCAGATCTGGAAACAAAGAACGTCGAAAACTTTTTGGAAGTAAAAGAGAGGCAGAAGGTGGTCTGAAGAGGAGAATTGGAAAACTTTTGTGGGGTTTTAATCTAATCGCACGGTCAGTTTGCTTTTAAAGGGAAAATAAAGAAATTCAGACTGCGCACGCCGACAAGCATAACACAACGGTCAATTTGTTTTTTAAAAAACTTTTTAAAGAAAAGAAAAAGAAAGAAAAAAGCAACTATTGCAGATCCATGTCTGCTCGTTTCTGTCTTTTTCCCCTTTTTCTCTCTCTGCTATGCTCGTACTTCTCACCTTCTCTCTGGGCAAGGCTTGTGAACAAGAGAGATTGAAATTTAACAGAATGACTAAGTAGTGTTGGGTCTTTAAGAGAAACCCATATATCTTCTTTTCGATCTTCTTTTTTTTCCCCTTATTCTCTCTCTGCTATGCTCGTACTTCTCAACTTCTCTCTGGGCAAGGCTTGTGAGAACAAGAGAGATTGAAATTTAACAGAATGACTAGGCAGTGTTGGGTCTTTAAGAGAAACCTATCTATCTTCTTTTCGATCTTCTTTTTTTTTCCTTCTTTCTTTGTTCTTCTTTTCTTTCTCTATTTGATTCTTTGCTCTCAAGAAACTGAAAAAGAAATAGAATGCTAGAAAGATTACCATTCTAATTTGTTTTCTACCATCTTCTTCCTTACCTCTTTCTGATATTCTTTTCTTTCCCTCTCCACATTGAAGAGAATGGAGGGGTTTCAGACCTCGTTTCTGTCTTTTTCCCCTTTTTCTCTCTCTCTTTTGTGCTTGTATCTCTCTCCTTCTCTCTGGGCAAGGCCAGATCTGAAAACAAAGAACGTTGAAAACTTTTTGAAAGTAAAAGAAAGACGAAAGAAAGGAAGAAGGTGGTCTGAAGAGGAGAATTGGAAAACTTTTGTGGGGTTTTAATCTAATCGCACGGTCAGTTTGCTTTTAAAGGGGAGATAAAGAAATTCAGACTGCGTTAAAAGGACGCCGACAAGCATAACACAACGGTCAATTTGTTTTTTAAAAAACTTTTTAAAGAAAAGAAAAAGAAAAAAGCAACTACTGCGTTAAAAAAGTTAAACTACACGGAGCCCAGGCTTAGGGTGTTGTTTTAAATTTTGGTTATATTTTATAAAAAATTAAAATATCTTTATAATAGAAAACTGTAGTTATTAAGAAAGAGATAATAAATTAAAAAAAAAAAATTAAAGTAAAATAGCATAAATAAGAATGTGAAGAATGTGTGATAAACACTTAGTAATTAATTCTAAAAAAATGTGAGTGAATTTTACTGGGAAATAGAAAAAATTAAAAAAATTTGACAGAAAAATGAAAAAGACTCCCTTGTAGATGATTTTTTTTTATTAATTATTACTGAAAGAAAATAAAAATAAATAAATTTAAAGCGGATAAATATAATTTTGTAATAAATTTTAATAATTTATGTTAGAATATAAATAATTAACTATGATATTTTTTTACAATTTTTTAAATAATTAATTTAATCAATTATTTAATACAATCAAAACATATATACTTTTTTAGTTCTCTATATGCATTAAAGCAACAATACCGCTTTCTGATATTCTTTTATTTCCCTCTCCACATTGAAGAGAATGGAGAGTTTCAGATCCATGTCTGCTCGTTTCTGTCTTTTTCCCCGTTCTCTCCCTCTGTTATGCTTGTATTTCTCTCCTCTCTGCGCAAGGCTTGTGGGCAAGAGATTGAATCTTTCAATACTGTTGGGTCTTTAAGAGAACCCATCTATCTTCTTTTCGATCTTCTTCTTCCCTCTTTCTTTGCTCTTCTTTTCTTTCTCTATTTGGCTCTTTGCTCCCAATAAACTGAAAAAGAAATAGAATGGTAGAAAGAGGACAATTTAATTTGTTTTCTATCATCTTCTTCCTTACCTCTTTCTGATATTCTTTTATTTCCCTCTCGACATTGAAGAGAATGGAGGGGTTTCAGATCCATGTCTGGTCGTTTCTGTCTTTTTCCCCTTTTTCTCTCTCTCTTTTGTGCTTGTATCTCTCTTCTTCTCTCTGGGCAAGGCCAGATCTGAAAACAAAGAACGTTGAAAACTTTTTGAAAGTAAAAGAAAGGAAGAAGGTGGTCTGAAGAGGAGAATCGCACGGTCAGTTTGCTTTTAAAGGGAAAATAAAGAAATTCAGACTGCGTTAAAAGGACGCCGACAACGGTCA